TATCCTGGTTTTTACGTTACCGTGACAAAGTGTCGCACACGCGGAAGTGCGGCTAAGTAGGTCAGTGGGCCAAGCGCAGCTGCGACAGCCTCCTCCGTATTGAATTGCATCTGCATCTATGCCTGCATCTGCACGCGAACGTGAGGATACCGTCTTCCGATGGCCCCTTTGTGGAAGGGAATTGCAGGTCGCGAGAGTATTTGGTATTTATGAGCAGCCTGGGCCGAGTAATAACTTTTCTGCGAGAGGCGATTGTCCACGTGCGTGGATAAAATCGATGCGTTTACGGGGCGCATCGTTACAAAATCGTAACGCGCGAATTCGACTCGCCAGACTTTGTCTTCTGGATAAAATTGATTCTTTAATCCATAATCCATAGTCGTAACAGTGTGGTCGCACCGCATGGCGATTTTTTGGTTTGGATATGCAGTTATCGTTTAATAATAATTAACAATAAATTTGGTAAAACCACTTCGCCTCTTCCATTTATAAAATTCTGAATCTTTTATATTCTCGTCGGAATTATAAGTTGATTCGTCAACGAAAGTGGTAATGGGCCTCATTTTTAATTCATTAAAGCTATAATGAATAACCTTTCTAACGGTTAAAAATTGAAATCTTGCCTGTAGACTCTTTTGCGTAAATTGTCGTATATAGGTTTATTGTCCTGGCTTTAGATAGTATTACAATGTGTGCATTCCAACAAAACGAAAATGGAGTGCTTTGTTCGCGATTTTTTTTGTTGCTACGTGGATATTGTACTTTCATGCGTCTCCAGATAGAAATAAAACTCATTTACTGTTTGGAGATCCACACCGATGGGATGCGAACTTTATATTGCATTGCAAATTCGCAAGCGTACAATGCACAGATTTATCAAAAATTCATGTCCATACCGTTCAAAAAAGCCACTGGTATTTGGGCTCGCTAGATGAATTTTTATTTGTTGCTCGTACGATTCGCGTCGTTGTATCCTCGCTAGTAAATTCTATTTAGCCGAGAAGAGATTATTATTTGAAGAGAGAAAGATAACTTTTTAGATATCATTTTATCTATTTTTTTTTTAAATCTGCACACACGTTTGGTATTTGAAACGCGCATTCGAGAGCTATCATTTTCATCGCAAATATGATATCGTCAAGATCGATTCGAGGATGTAATTCGTCGTTTAGAAAGGAATTGGAATACACCATCTGCGCTTTCTCCCGATTGTTTCGAACGAAAGCGGACGTATTTTTTCGCAGATTCGTTGTGGTCGACACGAGCATTGATCGAAACGCGAGTAAAAGAATAGCATGCGCGCGGATCGTTTTCGTTGTAATATGAATACCTTGCTCGTGCTGTGTGCAATGTTTTCGAACGCAATATTCTCGGGAAATGAGGGAGTCGAAGGTGCGAGACCACGTGTGGAAATTATCGCTGGAATGACGGCACCGGTCGTTCAACTGGTAAAGCTTTTCCCAAGCGGAACTCACTCAGTTTTTCTTATAGGATTCTAATCGCTATTAATGTTGTAAATTGTGAGAAAAAGTCGGCCTTTCGCACGATTTACTCACGTTTGAAGAACTCTCTTTACCTATTTTTTTCTATCCGGGGCAATGGTTTTCCAAGTAGAAGCGTAAAAACGTGTAAATTTATCGCATTAGAATTACGAGAATCAATTATATTTATCTCGCGCGAACAATGGTGATAATATAATGATTACGTTCGACGACACGGGCTTGAATATCGCAGTTATTCGATAAGCAAACTGTTGAACAATAAGCAATTATTTATAAAAAGCAACAGTTTTGTTTTTACAGGTTTGTTTTTTAAACATATTAAAAAGATTTAAACGTATTATAAATATATGTTTGTCTCCGCGCGCTGTCCTTATTTATTAATCAGGAATCTTGTATAGTTTCAGTGTCAGGCCTTTATAAAATCTTTTACGATAAGTCGTTCATCAAGCGAAAAAATGATTTTTCTCCTGGAAATCTGACGTGTGCCGCAGTTAACGAGCGTTAAGGCAAATTATGTCATAGAAATTATACATACGTTTAATAAGCCGTCCATTAAATTTCAATATAACGGTCTTTACATCGATCGGTTTCGTCGATACGACGTTGTTTCGCGTATTGATACTTTCACCGTGAATCGCAACTCCGTTGCCGCAATAGAAGCGTAAGCGTGCGTATACACGTGCGTGCACACGCAGGTGGATCACGTTTCCTGAAAGCAACGGGCTACCACTCGCGCTCGCACGCGTGGCACAGCTCGCGCGTTTCGCAGGCAAAAGTCAGCCGGGCGTGACCAGCGTGGAGAGAAACGCGCGAGATACGCATAAATGTGCATAATACGTGCGGATTTGCCGTTCGAGAATTTAAGCGTGTACTTTGCAACAGTAATGCCCCGCGTAATACCGATCAAAGCGCGTTGGCTTAATGACTTTTGAAAATGATTTAAACTTTAAACGCGCTGCTCTCCGCGATATCTGAAATTCTAACGAAAAATATATAAATTATGGAAGAAGAAGCGCCCTTAAATATATAGGGGTTTAACGGGATTGGGAGCGGGAGTTCAAAATTTTCGCCGTTCGACAGAGTTTCGTCTGTGTAAAAAGTTGTCTTATTCCATTTGGCTCTTTGTCGGGACGGGAATTGAAATGCATATGTACACTCTGGGGTACGATTTAATTTTTCAGCTTTCCGATACGTGCAGTTTGCCGTGGCAATACATCATCTATTACAATTTCTGCGGAATAATTAAATACCCGCGGACACAATGAATATAACGTTGCAGAGGGAATTCAAACCAATTTCTATATTTCTTTTCTATTCGATTAATTAACTGATAGGCGCCCGTAGCTCACGGTTTGTTTTTTGTACCTCGTTTGACCAAGTTGGCTGTTTTTATTGGAGGTTTAATTATCGCGCAACGTTTATCGATTGTTAATCGTTCGTTGTTCTTAGAATTAATCATATCGGTCGCGATATACTGTCGATGACGAATTCAATTCAATTATCCAACACGAATGCTGAACAAACCTGAACAAAGTCGAATAGCGCTCGTCATTTTCCTCTTAAAGGTATATCTTTCTCACGGCGCGTGACTTGGCGAATGCGCGCGAACGCTCGGGTTGCTTTTACGAATGTTGAGTAAATTCGTCGTATGCATTCCCAATTCCCACGGCATCAACATAGCGAGTAGAACACTGAGTCGGTCTGTTTCTATGCAAATCGATGAATAACTTTATACAGTCATTCCAATTCCACTTTCTTGCATCAAAGAATAAACTTATAATTTATTTTAAAAAAAGAACGAACTTAAAAAGATCTTGGTATAAAGTTAATAATTTAGTTTGGATAAAATAAAAGAATTGTACAATAATCGAAAATCGATTTGCATCGATAACGCTGGTAGTTTAATTTGCGTTGTAATTATTTTATTCTACTATGTAGTCCCAAGTACTTTGGCGTGGTATAATTCGTATCATTTTAATTTGAGTCGGGAGAGAGGATTTGATCGAGAAAGTACCCTCGCTGGATGGTAATTTTATACAAGACTGGAAGGGGAGGAAGAGCCAAGGAGCTCTTTAGAATCCTCATCCCTCGCGATGTACGTCGTCGTCTTTGTACTTATCGTGCGAAGCTTCGCGATTCTTACTTTGCGGAAAGAGGGGAAAACTCTCGGCGAACTTTCGACCGAAAACAGCCGCGCGTTCCGCGCACTTCAGCCACAATGGATCCCCCTTTGCGCCGCGAACGTTATTTTCTTCTTCCCGGACGAATGAGGCATCCCGGAGAGCGGCTTTACCGTTGGACGTTCCAGTTTCTCGGATCTATCGCAAATTATGAGCTAGCGCTCGTCGGTCCGTCTGTGTCCAGCAATCGTATATATCGCCGATAACTGTACGCGCAATTGCTCGCACGTATGAGCGGCAGAATCGCGGTCGTAAACTAACGTACGTTTTTTTTTTTTTTTTGCGCGGCCGAGTCATGCGGGCGCGATGAGGAATGATTACGCGCGTGATTGCCGCCACGATGCATCACGAAACGTGAATTTTCGACGGGATATTGACGTTTCGGTTATTCACCTCGATTCAACGGGCACGACCGGTTTTCGGGGAGTTTCGGTGCTTTTATTTTTGTTTAGTTTGACAGCCCGCATCGAAATTCAGCTAAATAATTAACGAGCAAATTGGAATTTTTCGATTTGCGTGTGTTACATATTTTTCGTACGTTATTTCCGCGACTGTTTGCTGAAAGACTCATGGTAAAAGAGTAATAGCGACAATAATTAGCAATGTTTGCAAAAACAAGTTGGCTATTAATATATTTGTTAGCAGTAGTAATGCATTTAAAAACTCTGATTTATGTGAAGCGTCTATCAATATTTATACGGTTTTAATTAAAATACTTTGCGAGAAATTTACGTGATTTACGTTAAATTTGATACTTTAATTATTACGAATATTCTGTAGAATCGATTAATAGCATACCTACTCACACTGGTAAAAGAGTAATAATGGCAACAATGTTTGCAAAAAAAGCCGGCTATTAATTTATTTATTACCAGTAGTAATGCATTTAAGAATTTTGATTTATATGAAGTATCTATCAATGTTTATACGGTTTTAATTAAAATACTTTGCGAGAAATTTACGTTATTTACGTTAAATTTGATACTTTAATTATTACGAATATTCTATCTGTCGATTAATAGCACACTCACACTGGTAAAAAGAGTAATAGCGGCAATAATTAGCAATGTTTGCAAAAAAAGCCGGCTATTAATTTATTTGTTAACAGTAGTAATGAATGCATTTAAGAATTTTGATTTATGTGAAGTATCTATCAATGTTTATACGGTTTTAATTAAAATACTTTGCGAAATTGCGTTAAATTTGACATTATTACGAATATTCTTTGTGTGATATACCATATACGCACGTGCACAAATAACGGGATTTAATTATAATAATTGATGAACTCATAAGATCGCGTTATGTTGCGTTGCAGCGCCCTACGAGGGTGGAATATGGAAAGTGAGGGTTCATCTGCCGGAGCACTACCCTTTCAAATCACCTTCGATCGGTTTCATGAACAAGGTCTACCATCCTAACATTGACGAAGTCTCGGGCACGGTCTGTCTAGACGTTATAAACCAGGCTTGGACTGCCCTTTACGGTACGTATTCGTTTAGTCGTGTAACCGTACTCGACTAAGTCTGTAAATAATGCAAAGTACCTAAGCAATTTTCACTTAATTGTTTCATTGGAAGTAACTTAATTTAGAGTTACATAGCTTTGAGAATTATATCGTTGCTTCCCGGCGGTACATATATCTATCTTGTATTAATTTATTATCGAGTTGAGTTTTGCCGAGCAACGTGTTAAGAGAGAATCTTTAATATTTGTTGAACAAGAGTGAAGAGACTACGAACGATTTATTGACGACATTCTTCCTGTTTCGTTGTTTCAGACTTGTCAAATATTTTCGAGTCTTTCCTGCCTCAGTTGTTAACATATCCCAATCCAATCGATCCCCTGAACGGCGATGCTGCCGCGATGTATCTTCACAAACCCGAAGAGTACAAGAAGAAAGTGGCGGGTAAGTATGCTATACCGGCTTAATAAGTTTTCCCCCCCTCACATAACGAGGCACGGTTGGAACGAGGGCGGAGGATCATTACGAGACTTTTACGATCGGCCGTCAGAGTCGGTCCGTGTCTCTTAGAGTATAGAGAAACCTCTCCTCGTGTTGTAGTTACTTCCGTTCCGCGTGTGTAAGCTTAGGACGTTCATTAAGGTATACGCAATGCAATTTCCCGTTTCTGGCTTTTCTCCCGGCAGATTACGTCAGGAAGTACGCGACGGAAGAGGCGCTGAGGGACCAGGAGAACGGCGGCACCGGCAACGGGATGTCCTCCGACAGCGAGTCGTCGATGAGCGACTTCAGCGAGGACGAGGCGCAGGACATGGAGTTGTAACCAAATATATTACCATCCGCGCGTACCCATATCCTTAATCATCTCGATTCCCTGTAAGATCCCCGATCGCTCGTCCTACTACCAAATAGATGCTTACACCCGAGACTCCGAGCCTCACTTCTGGTGACGGCGACGAGATCCCCCTTTACGTCTCGTCGCTGCTCTCGTCGCCCGTCGCTCGTACATATATATAGAGGGGGTGGTGATCGACCATCCCCGGCACGACGAGAGTGAAAGTGACGGAGACGAACGAGGTAAAAACGGAGAATCGCGCTCTTCTCACCGAGCGTATCCCGAGGGGCGTTTTCTATCACGACGGCGATGTCTCTCACGGTCGTCCAAGCTCTTACTTGAATTAATTCGTTAATTATTCGCTGCGTTTAATTGCCACAATCACGACGACGATGATGACGATGAGTGTAACGTACTCGTCAACAAACGACGAAATTCGGAATCTCTGTAAACGTCTCGAGAGTCGATGCTTTCACTTTTCAGCGCGAAGAAGAAAAAAAGGAAGGGTATAAGACAGTGAGACAAAGAGAGAGGCTCTCATCGTTGGTATTTAAGGATTATCCGTCGATCGATGTAATGTCGATTTTCGAAATTACGTCCTCCGACTATTCCAGCATCAATCGGACGATGCTTCTACTGTGTATATCTACGATGCGTTTCTTTGTAATTGAACAGCAAAACAATAACGTACCTGCGACGGAGAGAGCTACACCCGATACATTCGCCCGACCACGTTTTCCTCGGTTTTTTTTTTTTTTGAGATTCTCTCGCCCTTGTTCGTTCTTTCTTCCGAGCGCCCGCGGGCGCGTTCGTTATTGTGATATTCAAAAACACGTGATCGAGATCGAAGCAGCACGGAGAGACGCGGCACGAGAAATTTTAACGACAAACTATTCAACCTGGCACATATAGCGATTGCATCGTCTCTACCAACTAACGACTCCTTTGCTGCTATCTTATTGTTAGACTGTGTTAGCATCTATTTAGCATCTAATTATTTTTACATTCAAAAATCGCCATGAATCGTTATTCATTCTTCTCATAATTTGAATTTGTGAAGAGTACGCTAAATATTGCCTAGTTTAAAGGAGAGAAGTAAAAACGTATTTGTCTTCACGATAAATTTTTTTTCTCGCAGTCGATCGATCGTAAAATCGGTGCGCATATCACGCGTCAGTTTCAGGTTTCTTTAGTTTAAACAACAGTGAGACACGCAAAAATGTGATGGAGTATGGGTACTAGCACCGTCTTCCTTTTTCCTGCCATCACCATTCCCAAACGTTTCCCCCGTAGGGCTGCGCATCAGCGACCGATCGCCACGTCGTCGTCGGCGGCGAGGAAAAAATCGAATCTGCCACACAAACGGCCGCACGCGAACGACGCCGGGACGACGCAGCCGCTGTCCAAGACTGCGCGATTGCGGAACTACCCCGGAAGAATGAGTGCGAACGAGACTCTGAATATATTTCAAACAACCTCAGCGTCCTGTCTCGAACTGTGCGCATCGGGCGGGCAAAACGCGGAAGAGACACAAGCAACCGAAGCTACAGGACTATCATCACCATGTGTCCATCCAATGGAAGTGAATATAGATTTAGTTGATCCCGGTGGGTACGGATCGGACGCGATTTAACATTCGCTCGCGAAAAAATTTTAAGTCAATTTATACTATTTTAATCTCATTGTTATTCGACTCATTATAGATTTCATTATATAGATCATTGTTATTAAGAGGAGGACGTATATTAAATTGAATTGGTTTGTTACAATGTTTGAGAGATGCTTTGCTTTTCTAGAAGTAAAACTGGAAATATCCTTGTGTTAAAGAAAGATACCCCTACTTAATTCATCATTACTTCCATCCGCTAATGCAGTTTTAAGTTTATTTCGAATATTAGAACTAAAGAGAAAATGAAATCAAAGGACTCAGGGAATTTCCGTTTGAGAAACAAAAACTATGGTTGTATCATCGCTGAAGTAAACAAGGCGTAAAATTCGAATAACACGACAGGTGGAAAGTGCGAGGAAAGGATTAAATTTATTTTTATGATTGACGATATATATATCAGCGAATTTAAATTTTCAAAAAGAACCAAGTAGAGTAGAATTGTTTGGCAAAGTGTAGGAAAACTGTAAATTTATAAAATATAAAATTGTACAAACTTTGGTGCACAATAATCTTCGATCAATAGTATCTCGTTTCAAATTGATCTCCCTCCTTTGCATGATTTACATGTATGCAATGCGATTTATAGCTGTACGTAAGTATAAACATTATATTTCAGTGCCTTCTCAGGCAGAAAAGCGTGCCTTATTATATGGGTCTCCTGTAAAGAATTTCATTATGAATATATATGAGTGAATACGACGAGCATTTAGCGTTAACAGACCTTTGAATGAAATTAATTGTGCTTAAAGCATTGCAAATTAATACCGAATGTGTTTTTAGAAACTAGAGATAACCGTCGAATGCAATTACCAGACTTGAATAATTCCTCGGTGATAATTGAAAAATGTACAAGACATCAACGGAAAACACAGAGATATGAAGAAAGCGTGAAAAATCATTTTACTGTGAAACTTGGTTGTCCATCTTCAGAATTGAACAGATCTAACGCTTTACTGAATTGATATAACAATATCGTAATGTCGCCATAATTACGTTGCGTGGGCGCATCGGTCATAAATGCAGCAAATGCAGTAATCAAATTCAGGATGTATATAGCAAAGGAAAAGTTACGATTTTATTAGCCAATATACTGTACATTTATACAATTTCGTTGCGCATACTTTTTCAGTCGCAACTTTTATTTAGTTTATTCGCTGATAAAAGCTTATCTACGTTTCTAATGTATTATGCAACAGCTGCGCTCACTTTTTTTTTTAAACAACGTTATGTTTTATGCAACGAGAAACGATATGTATATAATTTACACGGATATTCACGCTTTACATTATTACGTTATTATTTAAGACGAACTTTCATGGACACGGCCTGTTTCCCAGCGAATCCATTCCGTTGGCGACGTGTACTGCAATGTATTTACCGTTTCAAAAATCGCTATTAAGACTAAGCGAAATCAGAATACAATTTTCATATAACTTCTCAAAAACAGTACCGTTTTTAATTTTTTTTTTTCAATTCGTGCAATTACGTGAAGCGACACGTTTCCAAATTTGTTAGTTCCTCTTCGTCATATTTTTCATAGTATTCGTATATTGGCTTCTCGCTATTGTTACAATATTTTAGTGCTTTTCGAGACTCGGTGTGCAATCAACAAAGTATGATATATGATATATGCGTCATTTGGATGTACGTCAAAACAAATGTACAGTCTATTCAGCATGAATACTTAGAATTATCTCAGCCGTACGTACTTAGAAAAAAGGAAAGGAAAATTCTGCTATTCTTTTATTCGCACTGTATCTCTCACAGGAACGCGTGTCTTTTCTACTTTATTTTTGTAAGTTAGCACAGTACGCGCGCGTAGCTTTAACGCGTCTAATGTCTCGTCGGCACTGTACTTTTAGACTTCGTTCATTCAGAACCAAAAATCCATCATATAGAGAATGTGCGTTTCCCGTAGAACCGTGTCGATTGAGTTTGAAGTCGTGCTCTCAGATCTCACATCGTTGCTAATTATATATGTAACATATAGAATTATTGACTAGTTATACGCATAAATATATATATATTATATATATATATTATCGATCATATTCGCATAACTTTATATTAGCTATTATATGTATATGGTTTTACTAACGAATTGTTTAATTAAGCGAAAAAAAGAATAGTCTTAATAATCATTTTTTATATATTTTTTTTGCAAGTGTTGTTTGTTCCTCCTGTCAACTGATAACTTAACGCGTCTCCGTTTCGGCTATTGGGATTGTTTTTCAGTATTCCGTATTCGCGCGCGCGCGCTCATTATTATAACGAAGATGAAAAATTTTCCGCAGCATATAGGTAAATTGATATTGGATTATCAGGTTTAATCCTTAGATTAATGTTAACTAATATTTCGTTTTGTAATGCGAAGATCCATTGCCTCTATTGTGTTCAAACCTTTTTGTAACATTGAATAACGTCTAAAGGCATATTTTTATACATGTATTGCAATGATATAATATAGCAATAGTTGCATGTTCTTTATCCTATGTCGGACTTCATCGCCATTTAATTTTCCCCTCTGTGATCATAAATAATGAATAATCAATTATTTTTATAATCGTGAGCAACCTGTCTCACAGAACGATTAGAGTCTCGTGTATAAGATGCATTGCTTATGTCGTTCCTTTAATTCCGTAAGATATGTCGAATGTTTTCCGAGTAATTGTACATTTAAAGGATGCAAAGGAGACGTTACGTAAAAAAAAAGACACGAAAAATATAATTTATATCCGTGATAATAAACTGTAAGCCCTAGAATTGAAACGAGAGAATTTGAAACTACGATTATTGTGATCGATTGGGTTCTTTGCATACTCTGTGTTCTTAAATGTCCCACCGTAAATCTTATTCGCGAAGATGTAAGTATATTTATGGATGACAATTCCGATACAGAGAGAGCAAGAGAGTAGATCGGGCGATGCCACGTGTTTGTCAAAGTTATGTCAACAATATGTGATCGAAGGGCGAGGGATTCGTTTTATCCGATTCAGTTTGATCAAACGAGACATATATATCTACACACATACACCACCTATGCAGACACACAGTGTGAAATACGTTCTAAACGAAGCTATTAATTTCGCGCCACGAAATACAGCGAGAATCATATTCGGAGTTGTAGCTTCAACGTACAAAAAAAAAAAAGAAAGAAAAAAGGAAGAGAAAAAAGCGGACACTCGAGTGTCGGAGCCAGGATGGCCGAGATTTTCATTGTACGGAATTTAATTCTGTCGTGTAAGGTTCTTTGAACGTCGAAATAGGGAGATAGAAGTCGGTAGAGCGATCATTATCAAAGAAGTTCTTTAAATAGCAGGCTGTTACTCGTTCAGGATTACAGCTCGTGATGTGAATAAAGGAGATAACGAACGGCCGCTATTTCTGTTCCGCCGGCGGAGCACGTATCCTGATTTGACATCTTGTTTTTCTCGCGAGGTAAAGTTGAATGAATTAGATAAACGAGAGGAGGGAAGAAAAAAAACGTACTCTCCATCTCTTCAGATATTTTAATCAAGACAGGGAGACAGCAATATTTTTGCTACTCGTTCGTAATTATATATCATCGATGTTAGCGAGCGTGCCGACAACGGCACGAGCGTCAGACGCGTTTGCAATAATGGTTGACTTACAAAGTTGTAATAAAAAAGAATACAATCGTTATATCGATCCTGATCGTACGATCGAACCTAGTCGCCCCGACAACGACGATGCAGTTGCGCTTGCGGTAATTACCGCATTTCGATATATTAGTTTGGCAAATTCATTTCACCCACTCGATCGCGCGACAGCGATCCGATTTCTCGCTACCCTTATCCAGCCGAAAATCTGACGACAGAGGCCCACTTTAATCTCCCAACCTTAGATCCAGCGATAAGAATGACCTAGCCGTACGCATATTTGCAAATTAGAGAGTGAACGCCGACATTGTCACGGGACGATAGTAATTGAACAAACGCGGCAAACGAATAAAACATTGATTACTGATATTTATTGATCTGGCTATTTGAATGGCGTTCCAACTGTTGTTATTCTGCAGCATCCGGGGGATTTAATTAACGAAATTAAAGAAGATATTAATTTCACGTGATATTTTGTTACTCTTGCTTCGGGCAATATCGGCGTTCGCGGCGCAATAAACGGACTTTCGCGTGTATTATTACCACTTCACATTACTCATCGATTGTGCGAGAACGTACCTAAACTGTTTCCACGTAGATAAGCGAGGCCATTTTCTACCGCGTCTGAGAAAAATTAATAATCCCGGTGGAGTTTTTTGCATTATTCACGTCAAGTGAGAATTGCTCTGTCGACGAAAAAAAGCAGAATTGTAAACGCGAGAAAACGAAAATACGATGTAATTAAGTGCAATTTGTGACGCGAGAGGAAGACACATTCTCTCGAACGTAAAGTTTACGCTCGCTTATACATCTGGAAATGATAAGGATTTAATATTTCGATGATATTAAATCGATTTAATATTTCGATATGACGATAGAGAGGCTGAGAGAGTTGAAGGGGGAAGCATAATGCTAAAAAGGGAAGAGACGCTTTCTT